GCAACTTCATGACAATAGAACAAAATTTTCATCACTTGAAGCAGAATATATTTTGCTGAAACATGATTTGCCATCGTCTGTTCCCCACTCATGTTGTTAACATTTATGTTTGGCAAGTCCATCTTAATGGGATAAGTCTGCCTATTTGTTTTAGGTCCATTAAGTTGGTTACATCTCCTTTTTGTTCTTTGGTCTTCCTTATCTTGTAGAAGCTTATAACATTTAAGGAATGATGATATTTTGTAATTTCCATTTAAGATGATCTCGCATCCTTTCTTCTGCTGTTCGTTCAGCCTTTTTTGGCACAACTGATGTTTGGATTTTGGACACCCTGGTGCTTTAAGAGAAGGTCTTGCCACTGTTGATGCTTCTCAAACCACTACATTGACAATGATATATTTTGACTTAATTGAATAGGAGATGACATTGGAGGAGTATGAGAAAGTGAGGGAGGAGAAAAGAAAAGCCTTAGCAGCAATGAAGAGTGAGGAGAGAAAGGTTGAAATGGACAAGGACTTGCAGTCCATGAAGCAACTCTCATTGAAGAAAGAAAATGATGACATCTTCGTTAAGCTTGTAAGTGCGGCGTGACCTTTTACCTTTTTATTTTATCAATATATGTGGCATCTATTTAATGAAAAGCTGATTGGTGTAACCCCAATCTCGAAGGGTTCTGACAAGGACACAGGAAAGAAGAAAGAAAATACTGATCGGGATGAAAGAAACAAAAAAGTATGAAGCCACTTTTTTTTTTCTTTGCACTAGCAGCATTTTCTTGTCTGTTTGACTGATGAACAATTTCCTTGGTAGCCCATGAGCATCAACGAGTTTTTAAAGCCAGCTGAAGGAGAAAGATACTATAACTCAGGTGGTCGTGGCCGCGGAAGAGGGCGAGGTGGTCGTGGACAATTCAGAGGTGGTTTCATGGGTGGGGTTTCAACTTTCACAACTGATGCTCCATCGATCGAGGATCCTGGACAGTTCCCCACGCTGGGGGGGAAGTGAGAGGGATCTCAATGAAACCGGAACCATTTTCATAACACCATCCTTTCAGATCCATGGCTTGTGCGTGATTTCGGAGCAATAACGATGCGTCCTGTTCTTCGTTTTACTTTCTTTGTGTTGCTGCCATGTATATCTGAGCATGTGTTAGCAAGTTATTATTATTGCTGGTGATGTTGTAGGACTCTATTTTGTTATGCTTTGCTCGTTTCTTCGATTTTGTCATTCTTGAACTCTCACATTTCAATGACTAAGTTGGTATCGATGTGATCCTTCTTTGGAGTTGTCATATATACATTCTTTCCTTCGAACGGTGAGGATGCCTTTACTCCAAATCGTTAGGGCCAATACACTATAGAAGATGCCTTTTGCTCCAAGTAGAAGAACATTCTCTCTCAAACTCTACCCAATGGTGATGAAGCCTAACAAAGTATGCCTTGATTTTAACTAGTTTATATAATTAATATTTTTGGTTAATCGAGAGTCAATGTCCACTAGGCATCCAAGATGATGAAGCCTAACAAAGTATCAAGCATGCACTTTAGATGCTCACAAACCTGTACTAATTTGATTTTCAGATAGATTTTGTTGAACAATTTTGATGTAATTTTATTTTTTTAAGAAAGTGAGATATGATATACAATATTGAAGAGGTTTTGTGAGACAAATCTGATCTTTTGTAGGAAGTGGAAAAAGAGATATGATTATCTTGAAGATTTTTCCTTTGTCAAAGTGGTGAATACTTAATAATTCTATTCTTTCACATGAGACAATCCTAAATACTATTATCTTATGTTAACCTTATCTGATTCAGCCCAACCAATCGACATCCTAAATAAATCATGAAATTATAATATAAAAGAAATAATTATTTAAAAATCATCGGTTTCTCACAAAACTTGACGTTTCATGTGTTAAGAGTGATATCTCGTAATATCTAAAATTTTTGAGTCACTAGTCACTTGATTAAAATGAAAGATGGAACAATATAGAGTTTTCTCTTTTAGAATATATATATATATATATATATATATTGCAAAAAGAGATATGATATATAATATCTTTTGTTTTCAAACTAAATGGGGACAAGGGGTATCTTCAAGATTCTTCCTTTGTCCATACTTAATAACTCTACTCTTTCATATGATAATTTTGAATACTACTATCTTATGTTAACATTATCTGATTCAACCTCACCAATTGACACCCTAAATACATCATGGAAATGTAAAAATAATTATTGCAAAACTCACTGATTTCTCCCCAAACTTGATTTTTCGTGTGTTAATAGTGCTATATTGTAATAACAAAAAATTTTGAATTACTAGTCACTTAATTAAGATGAAAGAGGCGAACAATATAGAGTTTTCACTTTTAGCATACTTAGTTTTATTTAATATCATTTCATGTTAAAAAAAATTAATTTTTTTTCTAGTAAATTATATAGAATATGATTGTATGGTGTAATAGTAGTATTTATTAAGCACATGCCAAACAACATATAATTCTAGATCTTTTTGCCTTCCATTTGTATAATTTTTTTTGGTGACTTTAAGTTATTAATAATCTCTAACATATAATTAAAATATTATCAACATCTCTTTGAATTAGTTAAGGTCCCAAAATTATTTATTCTCCCACCTCATCTAAATTAGTTAAGGTCCCAATAGTATTTATTCTCCCACCTCATTTTAGTACATAGGTGATCTACACTTATTCTTATAAAGAGCTTCAAACGAGATCATATATATACTAGAGGGTAGTTATTATTATACTAATGCATATCCCAACTTGCACCAAAGTCCAAAATCTAAAACAGGTTTTTCAAAGTTTATATTATTTCTCAAATTAAACTAAACAAAAGGTGAAAAGTTACTAAACTTTAAACTGTATGCTCAAGTTTTTCTATTACTTTCCAAAACTTAGAGTTCAATCTTGGATTTTGATTATAATATTAATTGGAATCTCATGATGTCGAATAATCTCCTTAATGTATATACTTGCTTGTGAAGAATAAAAAGAGGAATCCTTTCCGAGGAGATGAGCCCTCGATATAAGGTATTTTTTTAAATTTTTTTTAAAATACTTATTTAAGATTTATTTTTGTTTAATCTATAGATAAAAATAACATAAAAAACATAATATCACCCTATTTTTTTATTATAAATAAAAAATAAAAAAAACCTAAATTAGATATTTGATTATAGTTACAATTTCCAATATGCTGCATTGTATTACCCTTTGGTGATTTCATGTGATGATAAATTCTTTGATTGTATTTATGGGTAGTTTTTTCTTTAAGTCTTCTCATTATACTCAAATATAGGTATGACCCAAGCCTGATTAGTTAATTAACTTATTAATTTTATTTAGTTTAAATCATTGACCAAAATATTTAGATAGAAACTGACAATAACATATTCTTATAAATTAATCTTAATTTTATTCATGCGATGTAAAACTATATATATATATATATATATATATATATATATATATATATATATATATATATATATATATATATAAAACCTAAGCTTTTGGAATTATGAGTGAAGAGCATCTATAGCTTTCCATCTCCCTTTTTTATTTCTTTTTTTTTTTTCTGAGAGACGTAGCTTTTGTGTCACGGAGGAATGAGAACATATACCTAATACAATTTGTAAAACTCTCATGATATGCCCATATGATTCTCCCACAAAAAACATACGGAATGTTGAAACACGAGAGGAATTGGACATGGACAATTATTAATTTAGGGTTCAAAATCTTATTAGTATAACTATTTGTTTGATATGACTCACTTCTATCAATTCATTTAATTAGTAAAGACTCTATTAAATTATTGTAAAATTCTATTTATTCCCATGTGTGATGGGGCACAAATTATAAATTCTCTGTTGAGTAGATGTGGGATATATTCCATATAAAGTGATCCTTTTGTGCAAGTAATGCATGTGATCTTCTAAGCACCGCATATCGGCATATAAATTATCAGTCACATCCAATCAAGAATGATGCACTAATTATCCCTACAATATTTTTCTAATAATGCAAGAAGTTTTTTGATTATTTGTACATATTTTTTCTTACATGGAATCATATTTTCAAAGTTAATAATGGAAATCTGATGCCAACTTCAATAATGCTAATCAATGGATACTAAAAATTCAGTGAATTCATGTGTAATCATCAAACCAATTTAGACTAAAAAAGTTTAATGTACAACCACAATTTTGATTTCTACTTTATGCAAAGGCTAAATGATAAAGACGAATTTTGAACTAATATTATGATATATAAATTAACATTTCGACACCGAACAAGTTTAGAACTCTTAGTATGAAATAATTTTAAATCATTTAAGTACTAGTCGCATGCTCTTATGCATCAATTTAAGTCGTACCTATGTAATCTCCCCATAATACTAAGAGCATCATTCTTCTCCCATTTCATACTCGTTAGGATTTACTTATACAAGTGAAAAATCACTATTGTTGGTCGCCATGTTACAAAATAAATACTTTATATCAAATAACTAATTAAATTTAATTTTTTAATTAAATTAAAATTTATTTTTATAAATACATATTGAGTTTGAAGGTTTTGATAAGAATAAAGATT